CTGAACTGAAGAATATGTTGAAGAGATTGGCCTTAATGGCATCATTGCTGCAGACTTTCCTGTTTGGTCCTTTTAGGGGTGGGATGGTTCTTGAGTCTTTAAGTTTGGTGTTTACAAAATTGTAGAAGGCGTGGGTGGATTTTGTGTGTAGGAGGTTTTCTTCTTGCCTGCAGTAGTAATTGGTGAATTCTGCCTTTATTTGTCAGCATAAGGTATTGTATTGATTTTTAAAGTTTGCTACATAGCTAGTTTTGTTTTTACACCATAGCGATATTTTTTAATGAAGTTTCCTTATTGTTATGGGTAATTTGTTTTTGTTTTGGGGGGTTACTAATGGTACATATAGTTTCGTGACTCTTTCAAGTTCAAGAAAGAATGCATTATATGGTCTTCTGTAGTATTACAGCTAGAGACAATGTGCCAATCAAGAAATGATAGGTCAGCAGCTATGAAATCACAGTTGGCTTTTTTGAAGTTATATTTGATGAGCCCCCTACCCTTCAGGAGCACTGCTGTTCAGCAACGCCGGATGCCTCCTTTCATCTAGTGCTGGCCGCTGTCCTGCTGATCATGGTGGCATCTTCCAAGGGGCTGGCTGTGTGATAGAAGGCTGCGAGCAGTGGCAAAAGACTCCGGAGGCTGTTGGCGATGATGTGGTGCATTGCGACGCTCTGGACAGACACTACAACGGCAGCTGCTAATGGCCTTGTTCGGACATTAAGGATAGGGAGGGCAAACAAGATGATTGTCTCTGGGGCTGCAATAACAATGCCTCTAGGGCTGTAATTGCTGTTAATTGCTCAAGGCTCATCATGAGAGAGGGAGGGGCTGCTGATCATTATTCAGTACTACAAACAGTCTGAGTGGAGTTGAGGTAATGCTGGCCAAGATTGCATCAGCAACCTCCTTGGGAGCTTCAGGAAGACGGGTGGTGGGAGGATATGGGGTTAATGAGATAATAATAACATGAGTGTGTGTAAACGGGAAGATGAATTGTTACTCTGTGAGGGTGTTTTTGTGAGGGCATTGCTTCTATTTGCCCCATTTCAAACCTGTTGCCTAACCGTAGCCATCATTGACAATAAATCTTCATCACTACGTCTGGTATGTAGTGTTATTTGTAAGTAACTATGGTTCCGGTCCTAAGGGCTTTGAGAGTATTTTGGGGATTCATCATTATGTTCCTCTTTGTGAGGGTGTAAGTTGAGACAAAAGTCAATCATACTGTGGTCATTGTTTGAAAAGGGTTCTTGTATTTGTAGGCGATAGATTGAGTTTGAGCTGTTGCAGATGAGGTTGAAGCAGTTGTTGAGTCTAATGTTGTTAGTTACTAATTGATCCAGTCTCAGTGTAGTAATGGCATTGTACAGGGTTGCATGTGTGGGTTCTCATGTACATTCGTTTAGGATCCAATTTATAAAAGATAGATTGAGGCCACCATGGAAAATAAGAGGGTGTGGGCAAGAGGCAGTCCACGTTAGCAGTGAAGTTAGCTTGTTTGCATGAACTATGTCATAATCTGGAGCTCTGTAGCATAGTAAGAAACGGATTGTGGTATTTAAGGATAGTTCACAGACAATGGTCTCTGGAAGGTGTTAATTTGTGTGATTTGAATCTTTTTTAGATTTAGGGACTTTTTATAAAAGATAGAAACTCCACCTCCTCTACGGATTTACATGGTGATTGAGGGCAAGCAATGCTGGAGATTTTTCTTCAAGATGAGTTTTTCTACTGTGAAATATAACTATATATCACATTCCTATGGATATACTGTTTTTCTTCAGAGAGGAACAGCTTTATCAGTTAAATGGGATGGTTAGGATAATTTTCCTTGTGTTTCTAGCAACAAAATGAAGAAAAGCCTCATTCGAACATTCAAAAATCACAGTGCTGACTATTTGAACACTTCAGTTATAATTGCCTGCCACCAATGTCATTCAAATAGCAAAAGATTCCTTGTTGTCCAAGTATGTGTTGTGTATAATTATCTACAAGAAAATAAGGAGATTTAACTCTGTGGTACAGTTGAATTCATGTAGTCTGCAAAAGTCAAAAGTAAAGAATAAAATATTTTTTATTTTCCTTCCTGATGTCATATATCTTAAATTAACCTCCCCAGTGGCATAGAAAACAGGATAAAATGAAGGCAATTACTGACAATAATGCATTCACCAATTTTATTGCTACTGGATACTTTTACTACTTATCGAAAGAGATTAAATCAATCATTGCTTATTTTTATTATATCTCTTTACCTGTTCAGAAATAGTAGATTTTTAAAAAAACTTTTAAAATTTTATTAAGAAAGTATAACAATAAAAATAATAATACAATAATGATAATACAATAAAGAATTATATATATCATAGTGATAAAAATAAATTTGGTGAAGAAACTATAGAACACAAAAAACCCCACTGTTACAACATTACTGCTGTTGGGTTTATTATCAAATCTTTTAAAATAGATAATGCAAGATCATATATAGAAACAATGTTCATATTTTTTGCATATGAAGACATATAAAAAATTAATAAAGAAAGCATATCTTGAATCCATTCTTTCACAATTGGAATAATAGATTTCCTTCCTTCCAGTTTGATCTAGTGGTTAAGGGACAGGCTAGAAAGCAAGAGATAGTGTGTTCAAATCCAACCTTAGCCATGAAAGCCAGTCACTTTCTCTTAGCCCAACTCGCCTCACCGGATGGTTACTGTGGGGAAAATAAGAGGAAAAAAGTTGTTGGATGTGTTCACCACCTAGAATTATTTGTAAAAATAATAATAATAAATAGATAAAATAATACATATTATAATACTCATAAACTCATGTATTTTGTAATACATAGGAAATAATTCTTGTAAGCAGAAAAAGTAACTGATATGCAATGAAGACTTATGTATATATATGTATATAAACAATATATGTGGATATATGCATGCATACATGTTGTGGCTCCGAGTCCTGAGTCTGCATTCTTAGAGGAAGAGGATTCGGAAGATGAGGAGGAGGTGGAATTGGGAATGCCTTCCTCCCCAGGACCTTCCTCTCCTGCAATGCCTTCCTCCCTGATTATGCCTCAGGTTTCAGCAGATAACCAAGAGAGACAGCCTGAGGCTAATCAGGAGGAGGAGGAGGGCATATCGGAGCAGCCTTTGAAGAGAATTAAGCAGACGAATGCTGGCTTGATGCTAGGCAATGTCACAGGAAAAAGTGTAAGATGCAATGCATGAGACATGGACGAATCAGAGACTGAGCTGAGTTAGTGACACACCCCACAGGGAATAAAAGTGGGTGTGTTTGCTCTGGGAACTCCGTACGGAACAAAGTGTGAATTTTTCTGTGGAGCTTCAGTGTATCCTGTTTCCTGAAAACTTTAGTGATTAATGCTTCTTGTCGGACTTGGCAGGCAGCGTGTGTGATACTGCCAAGAACATAGCCAGTTCAAAGGAATTAACTCAGTAAATACTGAATCTTCTTGCCTGCTTGTATTTGGTCGGAGTTTGGACTTCTCATCTATCTTGTGAAGGTGAGACATAACACATACATACATGCTAAATGGTAACAAATTCATTTGAACCCATCCAAAAGACTTCCTAAGATCTTACCTCATCTCAGTGGAGATGGGGATTCTAAAATATTTTCTATGGCAGTTTTTGACTCTCCAAAGAAGCATGGTGGAACTCATGAAATGTTAAACACCTCATCATTTGATCTTACATGAAAATATAAACAGTCTTGTGAGAAAAAACAGATTTGAAGCATGCTGAGATAAACTAATTCTACTTTATTGCAAAGTTACATTAATATTGCAAGCTGAAAATACATTTCTCTTCCATCTTCTTTATAGCTCCCCCCTACCTCCCCCCCAAAAAACCCTAGAAAGGGTCTCTCCTGAAATGTTGGCTACACCCACATTCTGTGGGTTAACCTTCTCTTATATTCCACAATCACATTATTCCTTAATTGTGGCTCTTTCTCAAGTCTCCTAATGTCATTCCCCCATTATATTTACATACAGGATTTTGCAAATTCAAAACTGTTAAACTAATGTTTAGGAATCATGTAATAACCTGACATCTGTGAATTTTCTATATTAAAGATTTTGTTTTAAGTCCTATGTAAACAAAGTATACAGTATGTACTGCCAATGGATTGTTCTTGGACCCTGACATTTGAGACCCATTAATTATGAAACTTGAGAAGCGGACTTATTCAAATGATGCGTTCTTCTCCCACTTTAATTCTTCTCCATATTAAATGCACAAAATATACAGCAGCTTTTTCACTTGGCAATTCACAACTCAGGATTTTGAGTATGACCAATTTGAGGAACTATCTGGAAGCTATTCCAAATATCATTAGCAGATTGGTCAACAAACATAGAGGCTAGGATTCTCTGATCCTTTTGGTTATTCGGGTCTGTTGTATTTTGTAATAATACTCCCAACACGTGAGTTCTCTGCTCACAAAACTACTTTATTTTTCTTAACTCCTCCTTTCCGGTTCCTTCTTACTGTGTCACCTCAAAATATACCCCTCACTACTCTCTGTCTAACATTGGTTCCACTTCACAGTTAAACATCAACAGGTTCCATTTACCCTACACCACAGGATCCAGAGTGTCAAGGAGGCAAATCCAAAAGGCTTCAGATGTTTCATCTTCTTTGTATACTATGTGTTATAATTTAAACTATTTTAATGGTTTCTGTTCCAACTCCTGAAGTGCTTATAGTAAATTTTCCTTACCTTTGGAGTATCATCTATGAATCACATCATTGTAGTTGCATGTAAGGCAGTTTACTGACCAGTTTACATTTGTGCTACCTGTCCAAGGGACTGGGTTTTATACTGTTTCATCAGTTTTTTGTCAAATAACTTGTAGAACTTGTCCTTTATGAGGAAAGTATTGATTACTTGCATCATATTCTTCAAGGAAGACAATGAGACAGATATTCAGTAATAATGACTATATTTACTTATTTATTTTTCTTCCTTAGAATGGAATCCACTGAAAAATGTGAAGCTGTAATTCAACATTTTAATGGAAAATACCTGAAAACACCACCAGGTGTGCCAGGTAAGCATTGTCTTCCACTGTTCATTCAATGAAAGATCAATAAAAGGATGGAATTCTGGGGCTGTAAGGTCTTAAAGAATACATTTCTATTTCCATATACAGTTAGGAGTTATTGCTTCTTTAATGAGGTATCCATAGATCAGGAAAATTTATCACATGCTTAGCAATTTGCATGCATTCCTATTCCTCAGGTAAACTATTGGTGATTTAAGTATTTAATAGCTGATGTGAATTTTATGAATTTACATGTATTATGCATTTATTTTCTATATATTACTCAAGCTGAGGTAAACAGTTATATGGAACAGACATCTGTTGGTTGCCAAACCTGAAGGCATTCTCAAAATGTTTTGATTTTAAAAATTAAACCAAAAACTTTTACACATAATTTATTACTTTGAATGTTTAATACAGTTGTAATTTATAGTGACATGCATTATTGTAGCATTAATACAAAATAATTAATGATAATTAATGGAAAAAATAGACTTACTTTTTTATAAGTAATTACACCTAATATTTGGATCTCTTTTCTTTCTTTTTTTGCTAATCAGTTTTCTTTTCACTTTTTGTCACTTTTAGTTTATGTTAAATCAAAACACTTGAACAATAGTAGTTGATACTAGTTTATTGTATTTCAAGAGACCTGCCTCCTGAATACTTAATTTGTTTTGATATAAGTTATGTTCTTTTAAAATTGGATTTAATATGCAGTAAAAGGAGGAGAGGAAAGATTCAAGAAAAAACATGAAAGGAAGAGAAAAAAGACAAAAATGTATACATAAAAAGCAGTTCCAGTTTTAAACAGAGTTTTGTTTGATCATTAAATTTTTATGTCATCCATCTCTTCAATAAAGTGCTTGTTGATGAGTTACTTTTTATCTTTAAAAAGATAACTAGAAAACCAGATAAAACTTTAAAACTGTGTATTAAAGAAAAATAATACCAGGAAACAATAGAAAAATACCAGGAAACAATAGAAAATGGTTTTGCATCAAGAATCTCTGATGGTGATATGTGAAAAGTATTTCAACAAGGCAGTATTAAAAGTTAATCAGATGAAATAGTAGTGGCTGTGTTCTCATTAGGTCAGTACACAACCAGTTTATCAGCAGAGAACAAACATATATTATCATTATAAATCTAGAATGATATGATATTTCCAGTACAAAAAAGTGATATTTTTGTTTTACCCATGTTCAATAAATCCTTAATTTTTCATATGGTAAATTCCATAACTTTGGCCTATAATTCAGAATCTGTTCTACTTTTTTAAACTATGTATTCTTTTATAAATGCTATTAATATTCTAATGAGTATTAAACCAAAACAGAAGGTTAGTGTGGCAAGGCTATATCATATGAGCAAATAACCCTGAACAATTTTATATTTCTAATTAAATAGTCAGACAGCATTTTCTAAAGACTAAAACCAGAGGTGGTATTCAGCATGTTCTGACTAGTTCTGGAGAACCGGTATTGGAAATTTTGAGTAGTTCACAGAATTGACAAATACTACCTCTGACTTGAAATTTTATAGTACTTCCCCTGCCATGCCCACCAAGCCACGCTCACAGAACCGGTAGTAAAAAAAATTGAATCCTATCACTGACTAAAACAATGAAAAAATGTTGATTTACACTCATCTCATGATTGTAACAATATTAATACAGGTGACACTTGGAATTGGGACCAGAATTGTCATTACTAAGAGATATAGTTATAAAGCATGATATCACATGATTGCATTGCTTAGCAATGGCAATTCTTGCTAATGTCATTAAGTGAGAACTGTACAGGTCATTCAGCAATGATCTCACATGACCACAACTTTTACTATTTTCTCCATTGATCTTGGTTTTTGAAAGCTGCCAAGGAAAATCAGAAATCACAATGATGTGACTGTAGTTCATTGAAATGTGATCATTGTAAGCCAAGATTATGATCACATAGCTACAGGGCTAAGTCAACTGCTGAAAATTTAAGAACTTTTCTTGAGTATTCTTCATTTAGCAGTGTTATAATTTTGAATGACCACTCAGAGTATGACCATATTCTGAGGACTGCCTATAGGCAATATTTTTAATAATGTTAATATTATAATTCTAATATGATATATTCCTATTCTTTATTCCTAAGTTTTTTCAAATAACTAATATCTTCTTTAACAATACCTTTTAGTTGTTCGTAGAAAATACTATAGTTTTGGAATTGCTCAACATATTTCAAGGCTGACATTAATTTGGGAATTTTAAATGCTCATACTGCACGCTGGATCAAAGTATGAACTCAAAATATATATTGATTGAGTATACTGCCATTGAAAGAATTGTTGTGCTTTAAATAAATAAAACTTGATTGACAATTAGCTAATCTGCATATTGATAAAAATGTATTCTTTCAAAATACTGACATCAGTTTATTGCAAGGTTTACAGCAGCCCATCTCTTTAATTCCCTGGATTTTATGATAGGAATCATATTAGAACTTCAACTCTTTGATGAAGAGAGGCTAGATGGAGTTTGAATCTAAAAAACACTAGCCACTTTCCAAATAACTTTTTCCAATTCCTTTATTAAAATTTTAAATTCAAGAAAGATGAGTATGAAAGTTGCATTTATAACAATAATAAAAATTACTGTCCAATTGACATTAACACTTACTTATTGTCAGTATATGAGAGTTCATGAATTGGAATAGACATGATAACAAGTCAGCCAATGGGAACTATCTGGTGACTAAGAAACAGCACCTGTTGTGAGTCAGATGGCTTGGAGATTGAGCGTGGTGGCTTCGGGTTACTGGTCTGTATATAAGAGTTAGTTTCCCTGTAATCTTGCTTCTGTGTTTATACTGCTTCTGTGATTATGACTTCTGGATTCTGAGTTCTGGTTCTGGGTATTGTATACATGCATCATACTTTATATTATTGTATATAAACAAGTTTCTTCTACAAATGAATCCTGCTGAATTATTTACTTGTGTGCTGGTTGGATTGCTGCAAACTCTGACAGGTTATGGGCCACAGTAAGACTGAACTGTAATCAAACTGATGGATTGCTTGCAGGGGTGGGATTCAAAATTTTTAACAACCGGTTCTGTGGGCATGGCTTAGTTGGTGGACATGGCTTGGTGGTCATGTGACTGGGTGGACATGGCCAACTCAATATCACTCACATCAAGGCACACATCTCCTCGCCTGGTATCTCATGACTATGGGGATGCTGCAACAGTCGTAAGTGTGAAAAATGGTCATAAGTCACTTTTTTCAGTGTCATTGTAACTTTGAATGGTCATTCCACACAAGCAAAGTACCAGCAAAGGAGGGGAAAAAAGCTCCAGAGACGTTCCTGAGACAGGAAGTCTAGTCCTGCCAAGAATGTAATAAGGGTTAACGGAAAGGCAGTTTCTGTAAGCAACATCAGAATGTTTCCTTCCTGCCTTCCTTACAGGATTAGGCCAGTAATTTCTTCTAACAACTGGTTCTCCAAACTGCTTAGAATGTTAACAACCGGTTCTAGCGAATAGGTGCGAACTGGTAGAATCCCACCCCTGATTGCTTGTGTTAAAAAAAAGTAAAAGGAACAAGGCAGAGAGGCTTGCAGGATGGTTGTTGAATTCAAGTAGAGCTCTCTGCCTCGTTTGGAACAGAAAAATAATATTATTTGGGCTGCAAAAATGAAATGTTTCCTGAAGGCTAAGGAGCTTTGGGATATTGGTATTAATCCACCCCAGGCACCATTAGCAGCAGCAGATCAAAGGCAACATGATAAGGCACTGGCCTATATTATCTTAAGTTTAGAAGATGAACAATTTTTGATTGTAGCTGATTTAAAGATTGCAAATGAGATTTGGAGGAAATTGAAAAATGTGCATGTGAGTGCATGAGCATGCAATTGTGCAATTATGGAGACAATTATAAAAGTTGAACCACAAGAGAGTGTGGAGAGGCATTTGTTGCATAGGCAAACTTTATTTATTGAGTGTGGAATGAAGATTCCTGAATCTCAGAGGTTGCTGTTGGTGTTAAATTGTCTTAATGAAATGTGGGACATTGTTTCAGCAGTTTTTGAGTGCAAACCAGAACAAGACTTACAAATGCAAGCTCTAAAAGCCTGTTTGGTTCCAGAAGAAAACAAACACCATTTTAAGAAAAGGCAACCAGGAGAAATTCCTTCCCCTCCTCCAAGTTTTTTTATTTTATTCTACATATACACATCAATGCATCACCAGTGTGGCACCTAAGCAACATACATTTTAGTGCAAACAAAAATAGCAACATTAATCATATCTCTTACATTCAAACTTATATAATTATAATGTTAATACACATTTTTGTATTAAGTTACAATCCTTCATTATTTAATTATTCAATATTCCAGTACATTCTTCTAATGCCAATCACCGTATTGTTTAAACATGTATGATAATTTCATTATTCAGTTTCTTCTTTTGTTTTTATGCATATATTTTATAAAAACATCTCTTTTGGCGAGCAGTGTGGTTCCAGGTTTTTACATTTCAATACAAACATGACCATAGTTACATATTCACATTTCTAATTCAATTTCATATCACATTATTACTTATTCTATTTTCTTTTAAATATTCTACTATTTAATATTCTATTAAATTCATTAAACTTATTTTATCCAATTTCAGTTTATATCTTAACTTATTTCATTTTTTAAAAAATATTCTCATATCTTTACAATATTATCTGAAATTCTTATTTCATTTCTTTTTTTTTTTTAATTATACATTACCCTTTGTCCCTAAAAAAATTTTTCTTTCTTATTTCATTTCTATATTGATTACACATATTACTTTTATCTGTCATATTTGCAATTTTATCACATACTATTATTCTATTTATTATTCAATAATTCCATCTTTGTTCTAATAGCTCTACAAATTGTCCCCTTTGGTTGTCAATTCGAGCTTACCACCTATTTACCTTGTACTTTCC